ACTGCAAGGACTCGTCCAAGTAGTCACTGCAGGGTCAGCAATGACTGAGCGCAGACAAAAAAAAAAAAACTCTCGTGAATAATTTTTGTTTGACCTAGAATCGTGATTTGAGGTTTGGTGTCTTTCATTGACCCATTACTTGAAGAGCTTATTGTTTTCTTAGCTGCTCATACATTAACCAAAAGGGTATTAAAACTGTGAGTGCTTTCTTTGGATCTCAAGTTAGACATTTTCCATTCCATTTTCCATGCTGCACTCTGATCTGCCTTCATTCTGAAGGTTAATTCTGTTTTCTACATAGTATAGGGGATCTGTTTGTGTTTGCTGTTACTAAATCTCACCAGTAGGAGTAGGAAAAGAATGGATATAAGCTAGATGTTATGTAGGTCCTTTGAATTTAGGAAATCCAAATATTTGTTTCTTTTAGAAAAATCTAAAGGAGAAAGTGTGACTAAGGCTTCAGTTTCACACTGGGTAAAATAATATATTATTGAGGCCTATCCAGGTTTGAGAGAGGCTTCACAGCATTTTTCTTAAGAGAGGTAACAATCTATGTGGTTTTCCAGGGACATTCCCCAATAGAAGAAATTTGTAAATTCATCACATAGGTGCTAATGCTCATGTTTATTAACTAATAAAAGTTAAATATATTTTTGTGTTAATGGCTTTTGATAGATATGTTTTCCAGAAAAGTAATGCTAATGTAGTCTGCCAGTTCTGGGAACTTACACTATCCCGATATTGCTTTGGGAATGCACTCCAGGAGACTTGAGAAAATAAACATTTTAATATGATTTTCTAGGAGGGCGTTCAGCCTGTCCCACTCTTTTCCCTAGAATTGTCCCATCAGTATTTTCCATAATAGAAAAACAGACAAAACCTTTGTTTTACATTAAACAAAGTAAAGCCAAAGTAATAGTACAGATATCTTATGGCTTTCAAATATATGCCTTTCAAACATAGAGCAGTTAGATGCTATTCAGTTTGGATTTCTAGGGGACATATTTCTTGTTCTGCAGTGCAGCCTAAACTTAGTTCTTTGGGCTGAAGCTGGAATTAAATCAATTAAAACTTGAATGCAGATAGATTATATTAGCTATTGGCTTAAATTAATTTTCAATCTAAGGAGTCTGGCTGGTCTGATTCATCAAGATAAATTCCAATCATCTTGGTTGAAATCACTTAGTTGCATCCCATGGTATTGTGGACTTTGACCTAATGCACTGATGTCAATGAATTTTGAATAGGCAAAATCATTCTTTAAGCAACATGCCAGAGTTATGGATCTCCAGAATGATTTCAGCCAGTCTCCACTTTATTTTCTCTCAGCAGGACCAGAAAAAAAGCATTGTATTTGCCCATTAGTTGTTTAATATTAATCCAAAAATACCTGAAGAGCTTTTACATTGGTCCATTTTAATTTTCTTCTATCTGTTCTTTTAGTGGACAGGTTATGTAGTATTCCTAAAGAACAGCATCTCTGCTGTAACATTTTTTAATGCATAATTGTATGTTGATTTGTTGTATACTGCAGGTAGTCCTTGCTTAATGACCATTTGTTCAGCAACTGTTCAGAGTTGTGGCAGCTCTGAACAAATGGTAGTTATGCCGGTCCCTGAAGTTACGGCCATTGCGATGCCCTTGCGGTCACATGATCAAAATTCAGGTGCTTGGCAGCCCATCCGCACTTATAACTGCAGGGGTACTTCAACTCCCCCCACCCTTCTGTCTCTCCCTCATCTCTGCTCTTTTGGGTGCACTCTGCCATCTCTACTGGCTCTGCTGCCCTGTGCTTGCTGGCCCTGTGCTTTGCTGCTCCTAGCTGACTTTTGCTATCTTTTTGCTCCCTCTGCTGATGAAGCACACCTGGCCTGGCCCTTCATGAGGCGGCTGCTGGCTGTGTGAGGACTTTTTCCTCATGAGACCTCAGGAAGTAACCCTCATGTGGCCAGCAGCTGCCTTGTGAAGGGCCAGGTTGGGTGCACCTCATCACCAGAGGAGCAAAAAGACAGGAAAGGTGGCAGAGCCCAGGGCAGCAAGGGTGGCTGCAGCTGAGACTTCACATTGCATTGCTGGGCTGGGCTCGGTTGGGGCTTTGTACTGCATTGCTGGGTGGTGGCGGCTGTGGCTTTGTGCCACACTGCTGGGAAGGGCTCCTGGACAACTGGTCTGCTGCTTTGTTGTGTTGGAAGCTGCTGGCCCTTTCCGAGGTTTTACAGGAGGAAGGAGGCAGCAAGCTGCGTCTGATGTGTGGAGTCCCGGCAGACAGACTGGGCATGCATGTGGGAATGTGCGGCAGGCTGAGACTGCTGAAGTGGGGCAGGCCCGCCAGGAGCCTGGCGGCCAAGGAAGAGGAAGAAGATGGCGAAGGTCAGCTGTGGGCAGCAGGGATAGCCAGCAGAATGCAGGGCGACCAAAAGGGCAGAGATGGGGGAGAGAGAGACGGGTGGGGGAATTGAAGCGGAGGTGAACACACTAGGGCAGGAGAAGCATGAGGTCCTTGCCTAATAACAGCATGGTCATGCCCTAACAACCGCAACTGGGACTACTGGAACTGCCATAGCTAAGTGATGCAGTTGTGATGTTTCACCTAATGACTGCTTTGCTTAATAGTGGAAATTCTGGTCCCAATTAGGAGCATTAAGCGAGGACTACCTGTACATAGCACTTACACTCTATTATTTTATTTATTTATTATTTACTGGACCTATATTCCACTCCAGTCTAGCTGAGCAGTATACTTACCCAATACAGTAGTCTGATAACAAACGAAGTACATAAGAAATATATAAAATATATGTCAAAATACTCCCGGTATGGTGAAAATCTAATCTCAAACACTCCTCCTGCAGGAAATGATCAAAAAATACCTCAGGCTCCAAAGGCGTTTTGGAACAGCTAGGTCTAGATTGCTTTTCAAAAACTCAGTGGTGGAGGAGCCACACTGATCTCTTAGGATTCTGTTGGGGTGGGGGCAGTGACAGAAAGCCTGACTCTATGATCCCTGCAGATAATATTCCTTTGGTATGGACCCAGAGGGAATCTTCTGTACCAGATCTTAACAGACATGCAGAAAGCACTGGATGTTGGCGTTGCCAAGGATACCCAGATCCTGAGCCATGAAAGATCAGGACTGGTCCACAGCCAGTTTTAATTTCTGTGTTTTATAATTGTTTTCCTTTATTTTGCATGTAGGTAACTCAGCTGACAGAAAAACTGAAGAATCAGTCAGAAAGCCATAAACAGGCCCTGGAAAATTTGCATGAGCAGGTGCAGGAGCAGAAGGCCCACTTAAGAGCCTCTCAAGACAGTGTTCTCTCCTTGGAAGCAACTATCAGTGAGCTAAGTAATCAGCTAAGTGAAAGTAAAGAAAAAGTAATGCAACTTGATTTGCAGGTGATCTAACTTTATATTTTTATTTATGTAAAGTATAAGGGGTAGGAGTATTAGTAGCACCTATCTATTAAGTTAAGTAAAGTTTTTAATCTGTAAGCGTTATATACACTGGCTGCATTCAGATGTTATATCACTGATTTATTGTGATGAAACTGCTCTGAGTGAACCTTGGGCTTGCATGTTTTCCCCTTGCCTCTTTGGTGCAGTTGTGAGAAGATGATTGAAACCTTTGCTTCCATAGATTTAGACCTAATAGTTCATTGTGATGGGGAATAACCTATAGTAAGTCTTGGTCTTCATTCTGAATGTTCAGTTTTTCCTCTCAACGAGGATATTGAGAAGATAGTATATTAAAGATGTTACTTTGTTTTATAGTCTTTAAAAGACACAGAGATACTAGGTTAGAAAGAAATCAGATGGTATTCCAGTGGTCTTGTGGAAGGCCACTAGACAAATATATGAAAAGCCACCCTGGCTTAGGCTCTGGACAGCTGTTCCATGGGGTGTTGTAGGAGGAGTACCTGTGCAGGCAACACCCCTGCAGGAAAGTGGACCTTAAGTGTGGGGGATCAGGCTATTTTATTACTGGGATAACCGGTACCAAAAACATATACTTCTGCTCCTTCATTGCCCATACTGCTTCTGCCATCCATGGGGGAGAGAAGCAGGGAACAGTGGTTCCTCTCGTACTGGTTCTTTGATCCACAAAGATTGCAGAACTAACAGTACAAGACCCACTTTTTCCCATTTTCCTTTCTGTGAAGTGGGTGTTTTTGGCTCTGGGAGAATTGGCACCCCAAAGACCTGCTTTCCCTCCTTCTCTCCTTGCTTTTATTGACAGGGGTTAGCAAGAGAAGTGGTAGAGATGGTTGTGCACCCAGGAGACTTTTTGACTCTCCTGCTGCCAAAAGGCAAATAGCCCTTAAAATCAGTGGCCAAGGACCTGGGAAAGGAAGGGATGTGCAGTAGTTTCAGGTGGCCAGGTCACCCCATTAAACTGTCAGAATGATCTATGCAAGCAGAAGTGGACAAACACCACTTTCAGACACAAGGATCAAAGGAAGACAGACAGTGGGCCAGGATAGGTTGAAGACTACATTGTCCTTATCCTCAATAAATAGTTAATAGGTCTTCTTCATGCCAGGGCAAGCAGGATATAGAGATGTCCTGTTCAAAAAATTTCCATAGCTTGGGTAAAGTATTGGATTATATAATCTCTTGTTTCCTTAAAAGTTTCTACTGTCATTTTAGTTATTCACTTAGACTTTGGTGCCTTATAAATACATCTTTGTAGATGTCATTTTAACTCTGAGGTGCATTTAGAATCAAGAATCTGGATGAAATTTTAAAGCAATTTAATGTAACATGACTAAACAGTAAAGTCAATTTAGAGCGATCATTTGTTAAAAATATTCATAATTAGTTACACATTTTGGAATAGAAATGAATTGCAATTTTTTAGTAACTTGATAGATGGTTTAATTTTTCTGGTTGATTTTGGTTCAGTCATATCATTTATATAAATAAAAGCATTGATAATGCTGTGGTGCACTTACTAAATAGTTCACCCTAAGAAAACCTGAGGTTTTACAAAATAACAACTGTGTAGCATTTATAATCAACATTATAGAACATATTTTAATTCTCTGTCAGGTAAAAGCAAAGACTGAATTGCTTCTGTCAGCAGAAGCAGCAAAAGCTGCTCAGAGAGCGGACCTTCAGAATCATTTGGATACTGCCCAGAATGCGTTGCAAGATAAGCAGCAGGTGAGAGAAACAATAAGGCCCTATAGTATGGCATCATGATTAAGAAAGATAATCTGATTTATTTAAAACAAGGTGAATTTTATGTATTATCATCTAGAATACGTAACTCTGTGATGGTATTTTTGTATTTAGCTCAAATAGCCCAAACTGTACATTTAAAATATATAATTTTTAAATAAATATAAAATGATGGGGGGGAAAGTGTCATGCTCTTGGGGACTCTCATTTGATTGTTGAAAGATGATGTGTAAATCTTTTTTTTTTAAGGTAACCAAATGGTTCCTTTTGAGAATCAGTGTGGCATAGGTATTAAGATGCTGGACTGAGAGACTGACATTCTAGTCCTCTCCTAGGTACAGAAGCCAGCTGGGTGACTTGAGCAAGTCACTCCCTCTCAGCCCAAATCAGCATCAGGATCTGTGACAAGGTGGCTGGTAAATAAACCCCCTCATTGATAGCTTCACTGTAAAGAACTAGACTAGTTCAGTGCAAAAACAAGTGGACCCTGCAAACATGTGGGACAAACACTAAGAAAAACAACACCACCAGATTTTTTAATACTGAGAATTAATTTTCCTGTGTTCATGTTGGCAAGAAACAGACATTTATTATTTATTGCCTTTCTTTTTATTGTATAATTGGTTTTGATCTGAATTGTACAGGTAACTAGAATATGTACAAGGATCTCTTACATTAAAAGGGGGATCTGAACATCTTTGTGTGATCTTTCGGTAATTATTCTGTAATACATAATTCCATTTAGCCTTATCCAATATGTGTCCTCTCCAGATATGTGAATTTCAACCCCAGAATTCTCAGCTATGTATGTTCTTACCGTCTGAGAATTCTATGACTATATGTTTAGAAGACAGGTTAGTGCAGACTTTTAGTGTATATAGTGACACAGCACTTGTCTAAATTATATCTATCACATTTTTTTTCCCCAGTGCAATGGCATTCATAAAAAATGATCTTGCCTTTATCAGGGATGTTGTTATCTGCATTGATGGAGATTATTACTTCTTAAATTTATATAGCCACCCATTTCATGTATGTGACTGGGTGGTATGCAATAAATCAGTCAAGTAAACAATTATAAAACAATATAATTCAACAATTAAAAATATAAAACAATTTAAAATAGTTTAAAGCATAGATATGCATATGATCACATAGGCTATTATAGTCTATATTGAATTATTAATCATAAATTTTGTTTGTAATATTAAGTGAGAATATGGGAAATGCACAGTTTTGCAGCATGAACTTCCAGTATGCCAACTCTACATTTTCTTTCTAGTAGTAGTAGTAGTAGTAGTAGTAGTAGTAGTAGTAGTAGTAGTAGTAGTAGTAGTAGTAGTAGTAGTAGTAGTAGTAGTAGTAGTAGTAGTAGTAGTAGTAGTAGTAGTAGTAGTAGTAGTAGTAGTAGTAGTAGTAGTAGTAGTAGTAATAATAATAATAATATTTTACTTTATATACTGGATGTTTTCAGATATAAAAAGTGTTTCATTTTTAAACAAATATCACTGTACTAGGTTCTCTGAAAATGATTTTTTTCAATTATTGCTAATAGGAACTAACAAAGGTCAGTATGCAGTTGGATCAAGTTGCTTCTAAGCTGCACGACAAAGAAGAATATTGTATACAGCTAGAATCCAGTCTTAAAGAGTACAAAGAAAAGCAACTTCATTTAGAACAAAAAACTGAAGAACTAGAAGGTCAGCATAAGGTTTGTATTTAGTTTCTTCTTTTAATTCATATTACCAATTGTGGCCATATGGAGTGGTGATGAAGAAGGCAGAACAGCTGATGTGAAGCATAATCATTATTAAATATGAAATGAAAGGCTTAAACAGAAACTGATTTCACGTAGAAGCAAAAAGGAAAGTCATAATGTATCTGATCAGTCAAAAAAGGTCAAGTTGCATTTAACTGTGGAAAGTGTCAAAGAGAAGGTTAAGATTTGTGTTTTTCTTATCCCTGCTGTAACATAAAAGCACCAATTACATTTTCTGATCACAGCAGCAGTCTTGGGCTCATGGAAGTTACACAGAATTCTTGCTACCCTTTGCTGGTTTCTGTTTATACACATTTTATTCATTTTGCTAACTAACACAAAGTTTTGGAATTATAAAGATGTTCTATGTTTCTCTGCCTAACTCTCTCCATAGAAACAATTCTGATCACTTAATTCCTCACAGATTGACTAGATGTGAACTTTGCACAACTTTGAAAGATTTTCACCTCTCTATTTCAGCCACATTGCAGAAACAACAGAATGACAAGACTGCCTTTAGAAATAGAAGTTAGCAGGAAATGGCAAACCTGAGACTGTATGGGAGAAGAAAGATGACAAGTATTGGGAGGATAAAGAGTTTAGAAAAGAGACAATAATTATACTGATTTATTGCCCAATTGGGAGGATCAGGCTCATCAAATTACAAGCTACTAGAGAAAATAGTTTCCCCAAGTTATTCTTTTCTTTTCTTACTTATGCTAATTCTGCCTAGAGTATTGTTTCCTTCTAATGAATGTTGCAGTGCTGAATTTATTCTTCATTTATTTTCTTCAGGCCTGTAACAAACTTAACAAGGTATGGTACTTGTGTACTATCTGAGCTCTACAGGCAGTCAGTTCAGAAAGGACAAAAGTTAAGAGCTAAGGCATATTATGTTCTGGCAGTTCATGGAGCCTGGGGTAAATGGCGTATTTCTGCCTGTTCTTCTCTATTTTCTGTTTTCTTTGCTTCCTTCTATACTCAGGTTGGTTTGTTCATCAGGGCAAGTCTGTCAACAAGATTGGTGGAGGGCATATTCTAACAGTCCGCTGACCAACAAAAGACTATATTTGATTTTCTCTGCCTGAATAATCAAAATCAAAACAGCAGGAACAAAAAGGGGAATACTTGCTTCTGATCCCTTTACCAAAGCAGTTTAAATAGTTCTTTAATAGTTCAAAGTTTTAAAAATTCCTGGTGCTGATGATAGGGAAAATACATGTAATTTGCAACAACAACAACAACAACAACAATAATAGCAGCCTTATGTGTAATCCCAAAACATCTGGAGTACCACTTGAACACCATTGGCATTGACAAAATCACCATCTGTCAATTGCAAAAGGCAGCTTTACTTGGAACAGCTTATATCTGTGACAATACCTCTAACATCATCAAACAACATCTGTCTATCCCAGGTCCTTGGGAAGGACTCGATAGGTGGATAAAATGCCAAATCCAGTCTAAACATCTGGCTGATTGTGCGACCAACAACAACAATAACAATAATAACAACAATCACTACTACTATTACTGTTACTGCTACTGAAAACTAGAAAACAAATTTCCATACTGAATCAGCCATTGATCAACAACCATACTGGATCAGTCAGTCAACATGAGATTCTTCTAAAGTTATGGCTCCTAGGCATAGATGACAAATGGGATATAGGTCTTGCTTCCCTCTTATAGGCAGTCAGTGCAAGAAACTACAAAACTACTGGAAGGAAATTACCAAAAAATAAATAAATAAATAAACAATCAGTGAAAATCAAGACAGAAAATGTTATTATGAGTCAAATCCATTGGCTCATGGTTTCCAGAGATAAGTGTATGAAATTTGCAAAATTTCCAGAATCAAATATCCCCGGACAGTGACTTATGGATCAGAGATGCTTCATACTCAGGAGCAGGATCTTTACAGACATTGAACTTAATAAATTGGAACAACAATAAAAAATAATGAGATTTGAAATTGCAAAAGAATAACAGCAACAACTTTGACAAAAAGGTTTGGAATGCAAGAAAGAAATTGTAAGACAAAGATTATTTCATTTGAAATCTATACAAACATTTAAATGATTTTGTGTGGTGCAAACATGATTGCCCAATTAATAATGACAAAAACAATAAAAAAGACTAATGAATTCATGTACAACCTTGCAAAAAGAATAGCAATAGAACTAGGTTATAAATTGAAAGCAAGTTGCCAAATTAAATCTAAAGATTAAATTTAGGCTGAAAATTAGCCTCTGGAAGTATCTACTGCAAATGAAATCAGTCTCAGAAAGATGGTTAATGTGATGGAATGTGATGTTAGCACATTCAGTTTTGAAGTTCTCCAGCAGGTTACTGAAGATAACCATATAATTAATTGTGCTCAGCCTTGACCTGACCAGTAAGGAAATTCTCCTGGACGTTCTCCATTTGGATTATGTTTAAAATTCAGAGATCAAACTTGCAGAGGGTTAATGCCTAGCAAAATATGTTGTACTATATTAAACAAATAAGTAGGCTGGATCAGCAGTCAAAGCTATGTTTCTGTAATTACAGTTAGCTGCAGAAATTAGTTGGTGAAATGACTGATTTTTTTTTTTTTACTTCTTACTGATTGTTATATAAATGTGGTTTCCTTTGGAGTACTGTGTGGCTGCAATCTGACCATTTGGTCATGTTCTTCATTCATTGCCAACTGGATATTCCTCCTTTGACACACACTATTTTAAATGGAAGGTTCTGTAGAAAGTGTGCTAGACCCAAACTGAAGGTTACCCAGAAGAGATTGATGGATATACTGGATATAAGGATTCCTCTCTAAAAACCTGGAGGAGGATAGGGTAGGAAAGATTGGAATATTGTAAATTCCTATTTTTTTTAGACTCCAGGTGTACAGAGGGCAGTTGACCCATGCAGAACTAAATGTTTTAACAGTCCATGCTCATATTTGTTGAGAGAAGATAAATAAAGCCATGGAGGGTTAAGGTAATCTCCTTTCCATTATAGGAATTTATTTTGTTATAATTATTGTCTTTCTAAAAACTATCATTACAGAAACTTGAAGCTGATCTTTTTGAAGTTTCGGGACATAAAGAAAAGGCTCTTCAAGAACTACAGCAGCAAAAAAAACACTGCACAGACTTGAGCCTCAAAGCTGCAGATCTGAGCAAACAATTAGATGCAGAAAGAGAAATGTATGTTAAATTACTTGAATATGCTACTTTTCTATTAGCTGTATCCACATTTTAAAAGTTCTTAGAGACACTGTTTTTATAGCGTCTTTTTTCTTTTGCACCCTATCTCCTGGTTAGAGTTCAAATTATCAGCTGTTATTTTGAATTATACATTTTATTTAAATCTGCATTGAATTAGAACTTTTTTTTTTTGCTTTGTTAGTATATGATCAGGAAAAGACTAATGCTGCTAAGATAAGGCATTCGTTTTTACAGAGAAAAGTACAGGAAGTACTGTATATTGAATACTTGAAATGTGTTATATAAAAGTTAATGCTCAATCATGTAATTTTGTACTGAAATATATTCATTTTTATATTTTGTGTCTGTATAGGATATCTAGAGCCAAATTAGACTTACAGAAAAAAAATGATACACTAGAAGAAGTAAGCCAACAGAGATTAAAGCAAGAAGAAGAAAGTGCAAAACTGAAGTTAGAAATTGAGAAATTAAATCAAGATAAATTCAAGTATCACAAGGAATTAGATGGAAAGCTACAAATGTTAACAGATGATTTGAAGAAAATGAAGTTGGAAAAGGATACTCTATTAAAGGAACTTGAAATCATCAAAGGCAAACTGTCAAACAGCAGTGAATCTTTGGAAGAAGCAAAGGATGCATTAGAAAAAGAGAAACAGAGAGGAAAGGCAGCAGTGGCAGAAATTGTGAGTCTTGAATTTTAAACAAAAGTATTTTCTGTGTAACCACTATGAACCAGTTTGCATGCTACCCATGAAAATTCAGAGCAATATGTTAGTGGTCATGGCTTTGACTATGGAAAATACTGAAAAATACTTAATTGACCATTTCACTAATTAAATGTGTATCTTGGCCCCTAAATGCATGGCCTATTTTGAAAAGAAAAATGTTGTTATTGCTTAATAGCTTGGTAAAACATTATGTTCTTTGCATAACCAATTTTGCTCAACTCTTATTCTTTAGTTTTGCTTTAAAAACATAGTGATTAGATTTGGTATTTATTAGACCCATTTGCTTTGAACTGTATTGTGTGTCCTTGAAATTAATTTAAAAGGATGTATTTGTAATGTATTTTAGTAATTTAACAAAAGTTCTCATTAAATATTCCTTTTATACAGGAAAAATCTTGTCAAGAAGCTAGGCATCAGCTTCAGTTACAATCTGAATCTATAGCTAAAGAACAGAATGAACTGAAAAACCTGCTGGAAAAACAAGAAGGGGTAATGTTAATTGTTGACCACAAGCATGAATCCTGTGGAATGGTTGTTTTCTCAGATTGTGTTGCTAGACTCAGAACTCTGTGGGAAGGAAGAATTAATTTTCTCTTGACTCTACACAGAAAACAGATTTTGCTCAAATGAATTAGTGCTGTGAGATTAAATTATTTAGTATGCATATATGAAATGTGTGGTGTTTTATTACATATTGGATTTTTAAAAAGTGTTTAGCTAGTATTAAAAAAAGATGAAGTAGTAACATGAGATGAGATTTTCTATCAAAGCATAATAGAAAAGCAGTGGTGTTGAAGTAATACTACATTTCAATATTTAGATATCCAAGCAGCTAGTAACAGAGCTTGATTCAGCGCGTGACCAAGTCCTGCAGCTTCAGGGTATTCTCAAAGACAAAGAAAAAAATGAACAGCAGCTCCAACTGAAGGTAAAAGAACTGAAGGAATCTTTTGACCAGAAAAAAAAACAAAATGAGATACAGCAAGCTGAATTAAAAACAGCCTTGTTAGAAAAGGTAAGTTCATATATATCCCTTAAGAATGTTATGTTATATGCTATGCTATGTTAATGTTATGACTGATGCAAGACATTCTGTTGCTTTATAATAATAAATAATTTTTTGCTGATAACTGTGGCATCACTGTAACAGTGTAATCTGTGGAGGCATCTTTCCCTCCATGTATCATTTCTGGAGTGTGGAATAATTCTTCAGGGCAAGATGGCCTAAGGGAGACCTGTTAAAATTTTTACTGTGTTGTTGTTAAACTTGAAAAATACTTTGCTGCTCAGGGGCAAATACGAGTGAAATTATGGAAACTTAAGCATTCTCCAAGCCAGCTTTTTACTATTATCCTACACTGGAATGATAACAGAATAGATTTTGACTTTCCTCTACAATAACTCTATATAAATAGTAAGTATCCATTCTAATTTGCAGACAAATATCATGTTTAGCTTCGTACCATGTAGGGTTTGTGTCTGCTTTTGTTCACCTAGAGATTAATTGGAATATACAATTTGGTCAGGGCTTCCCAAACCATTAGATGCAATGGTATTTATATGTTGACTTATTATCCCTTTTCTCGATTATTTTCCTGTGTATAAGAGAAATATATCTTGTGCATGTATGTATTAGGCAGAACTGGAAAATAAATTGCAGCAGCAAATAACATTGTCAGAACAAGACCTTGCTACCCAGAGAATAAAAATAACAGAGCTGCAGAAATCCCATAAAAAAATTCAAGAAAACACAGAAAAACTTCAACTGGATATTTATGGTAAAGAATCTGAAATCTTGGCTACACGGCAAGACCTTAAGGTATGTGACAGTGTTTTGAGATTGTATGTGTTTCTCTCAGTGTATGCAGTATGTAAGTTAAAAGATTCTTTCTTTTGGTTAGGACTTACAGTAAACAGCTGAAACTAACAGTGACATATTTCAATGAAGAATTCTTTAGTTCATTTTTTTCAAGTCAGCCATAGCTATTACTCCATGTAGTCTATTTTATTTCTCCTCCTCCCAAGTTTTCTATTTTTTTTTTCTCTAATCAAAACGTTCAGTCCTAATTAAGATATTTTGGATTCTGCCCGTCCCCATCCCATTAAATCTTGTAAAATGCTTTATAAGGCTTAAAGTTACTAAAGCTTGTTGATACCTCACTTTTATGCATAGTTGGTGCTCTTTGGCTATACGTAAATTTACATTGGAGAGCCCATTTGGTGTAGTAGTTTAGGGCAACAGGCTAGAAACTGAGAGACCATGAAATCTAGTTCCACCCTAGGGATGAAGCCAGCTGGGTAACCTTGGGCCAGTCACTCTCTCAACCCTAAGAAGGCAATGTCAAACCATTTCCTAAATCTTGTTTAAAAAAATTGCCCAGATTTGTCCAGGCAGTTGCTGGACAAGACAGAGTCAAAGACAGACAGACATAAATCAAAAGAGAACAAAACTATATTAACCTCTGAAATTTAGAAACAGGAAAGGTTTTATTTAATACACTTACTTTCCATTCTCACATCTTTTCTCAACATTTTTTTTGTAAGCTGGCTTATAAAACTATTATATAAAAACACCCTAGTTAACAGCATTACTTTGTGCCTTTTAGTCAGTACTGACTCCTGGCAACTGACTGAACTAGTCCTTACAGGTTTTTTGGCAACATTTTTGGAAGTGGTTAGTTTCTCAACTATTAAAATTAGTTTTTCAACAATTTTCAATGATTGCTTAAAGGTCTGTGATAAAGGAGTCTTTATTGGATTTATCAAATCCAAATACAGGTAGTCCTCAGGTTATGACCACTCGTTCAGTGACTGTTCAAAGTTATGACGGCACTGAACAAGGGGGACTTAACAACCGGTCCTTGGAGTTCCAGCCATCGCATTGTGCTAGTAGTCACATGATTGCAATCCAAGAACTTGGGTGTTTGGCTTGTGATCACATCACAGTAAGCCACGGTCACATGATCACCATTTGTGACCTTCTCTGCCAGCTTTCCACAAGCAAAGTCAATGGGGAAGCTGGCAGAGAAGGTTGCAAGTTGCTCCTATAAGTCGCTCCCACTGCTTTTCCTCCCAAGGAACCCTGCTACAGAGTATGAGATCTCGTACTCCTTAATACCCCACTGCCCGCCCATGCTCTGTATCAGCCCCTACTGGCCTGACCACGCTCTGTGGGACCTGACCATGGCCCATGGCCCCCACCAGTCAGCTCACGCTCAGTAGCACCCACCTGAGGCATTCACCCACCTGCCCACAGCTCTTGCCTGCCCACCTGCTTGCCTAGGATTCTGGTCATGTGAGGTCCTCTTTTAACACCTGTGCGGTTTCTGGGTTAAAATGGCAATCGGGACTGCTGGGATTGCCCTCTCTAAGCGATGTGGTCATGTGACATTGAACTTTACGAATGCATTGCTTAGCAATGGAAATTCTGGTCCCAATTCTCGTCGTAACTTGAGGACTGCCTGTAGTTACTGCATTGAGTGTTCAGACATTCCATTTTATTCTAGTCTTTCCAGCCAGTTCCCATTAGATTGTTTTGCCCTCTGAGATTCCTATACCCCTTTCTGACTGGGATAATTCTTTGAACTGTGAAATTTATATAAAAATGCAGTTATGGTCATGCTTATCTAGAAAAAACAGTACATGGGGGAATATAACTTTAAAATAAACAGTTAAAATGAAATATATCTTGGAGGGTGGCAATGATTGACTATATGAAGTTGTTTGAAGATATTTTTGAAAAAGAATGCTAGTGATGAGGCTTTAATTGATCCAAGACATGGACATAGTGAAGTGCTTTTTGGTAAACACACACACATATGTGTACCCACCCACAGTCAAGAAATATTATGATCAAGTATCTGTTGACTTGAAGTAATGATGTAAGGATAACAAGTGATAAGATCAACAATATTGGTTAAGTTAATGGCACCATCTGCTGGAAGATTAGGTGCAAATAATAATTTTGATGTGTGTTTTTGCATTTCTTTCCTAGTAAAACTATAATAGCCATATAGTTAAGAAGATTATTGAAGATAGCTTTGAATTTGGAGTATAAGGCAATATACATTTCATCTTTAAAGGAACTAATTAAGAAGTCCAGCAAGTAGCAATAGGGTATCATTCATTTATAGCTCCTTTCTTCTGAATAGTATGTATAAAGTGTTTGGAATAGTAGTTAAATGTAATTTAAAACCTTTATTAAAATGTTATATAAAATAAGGACCTGATAGGAGTTGAATTGTTGGGACAAAGAGTATAATGTATTCTGGTCCTCACATCTCTTGGCATTTTTTTCCTTATCTCACTTATTGTGATCTTTCTCATCCTGCACCAATTTACCCATCGCTCTTTTACTATGTAGGAGAAAAGTATGTTGGGAAAATATACTTGCTGTTTGCTGTGCATGATAGATAAATACAAGAATAAATAATTTATTGTGCAACCCACAGCTCAGTTTCATTGATCAGAATGAGAGAATTGATATTCTTTGATACAATATCACAGGGAATCGATTTGGTGTCATGAAATAGAAAGATCCAGCCAGTAGGCAAGGTTAAGAAATTCTTTAATTGTTCCATTTTGTTATATTTTATGACAACATTATAAAAAATAAAAATAGAAAAGGTATGATGAATGAAATACCAAAAACAACTAATAAACAAGAAAAAAATAAAAGCCCCCCCCCTCCATTTACAGTGGTACCTCGGGTTACGAACTTAATCTGTTCCG